GCTGAATTTCATGGGTTTAAAATATTTATCACTAACCAAAGAGGTGTTTTATGAACATGGTGGTGGTCTCATATGCTGTAGCTTGTAGGAGCAGCCATCTTCCACTGGGGAGTTAGGCTCCTTGGAAAATTAAAACAGAGAACCTGGCTCTGCTGTACAGGAGGTGCATCAGGGGCTGAGCCGTGACTTCTTGGCATCGTCAGGATCAACCTCCCCCTTTGAGGCAGCACTTCAGCAGGTAGGAATGCTGTATACGATGTCTTACGGTGGTAGCTCTGTGTTCTGGTGGTCACAAAGAGGAGGAGGAGGAGGAGGAGGAGGAGGAGGAGGGAAGATGCTGTGGTATGCAGACAGCTGTTTGTAACTACTGCTGCAGGCTGTGCTCCAGGCTTCAGGCTCTGCTCCGCTTGTATTAAGCATCTCTCCAAAGCAAGAGGCAGTACATTACCTGGCTTTCCACTAAAGAAAGAGAGAACCTGCAGCACCAATAAACAGCCGAAACCTGAAATATCTCTGCAGAGAGCAGTACTTTAAGGGGGGGGGCGGGGGAAGAAAGCCAGCTGGAAAGCCTTTTCCTGATAGCAGTGGCCCTTAGTTATCCTATTGCTTCTTCCTGCTCCAGGCTTCACCCATCTTTCAACATAAATCAGTGGCTATTTAAATTAGAAAGTGTGTGGAGAGGGAGGGAAAAAATACGAGGAGGCGAGGGCAAGCTCCCTGCCTGCTCCAGAGGCTTTCGAAGTCCAGCTGCATCGTCCTGCTGTCCAGCGCGGTCGCTTGGCATAACCCTGGCCACGGGCTTCGCCTTTTGGTGTGGTCCTGGTGCCTGCGGTGCACAGCGGAGAGAGACCTTGTAGGTATCCTGCTTCAGGTGCTCACCAGGGCACTGTATATACACTGCGTGACACGCGAAATGCAAGCTGCTGCGTTTTACACAATTCGACACTATTGATAGTACTGAAATGTGAGGTCTAGGAAAAGTCAAGTGCAACGAAGGTGCAGACACAGACGCCTTCTAATTGGCTCCAAGTAATTTTTTTTTCTGCGTAAAAATTTTCCTACCATTTGCACCGTTTCCCCCGAATCCTTCTTTAAATGTGACCTTTTCTTTGCTCACATATAAAAAAAGAAGCAAATTGTGTTCATTTGCTTCAAAACTAGAATTGTGTGCTGACTTGCAAACCAGAAGTCTTTTTTTTTTTTTTTCTGTAACAGAGGTGGACTGGACTGCATTAATAGTGCTGCTCCCAGCATTGTAAAATCTGTCACCAACTCTATACGATTGCACTTCCACTAGACCTTTGCATTTTTTTTCATGGTTCGGATGCAGTACTTAGTTTGTTGTGAACACTTAAGCACATGCACGCTTGGTGTAGCTTGCTTTTCCTCTGTAATTTTTTTCCATTTTTGTAGAAAAAAAAGCTTTGTTATTCTTCTCTTTTAAAAAAAGTAATTTAAAACCTGTATAGTATTCAAAGCACGCAATGTAAATATTTATTACTCAGAAATTAGTGGAGGGTTCTCCTTTGTGACTAAGTTGTGGTTTTGATTTTTAAACCTTGTTCTAACACAGATGTCCCATGCGCGGGTTGGGAGAGGAGCGCCGAGTGTAATGTGTCCAACCCACTCACTCTGCCCTGATAAACTGTTTTGTTTGGTTTTGATGACTGTTATAAATATCTTTTCAAACCTTTTCTGCTGACCTGTACCTTTAGTTTTGAAGATACCTGTCCAAAGATTGTGTATGGTCTGTTTGAGAACTGTAACCTTACTGCGCTATAAACTTGGGGTTGGTTTTTTCCATTCAGAGAACTCCGTAATCTTGTATTCAATAGTGGCATTAACACCGTGCACGTGCAAACTGTTGTTATACAGCGCAGCAGCAGCTACTTGGTTGCAGTGAGCGCAGCGAGCCCCTGGGTCTGGGAGGCACCGGTGTAATGCTGTAACTCGCTTGCACCGCACATTCAAGATGCTCTTGGACTTTACAAGGGACCGAGAGACCCCGCTGCACAGACACGCATCCTACAGCAGCACGGACGTGCACTGTAACTTAGAGTATGTAACTTTAAATATAACTTTCAGTACAACGTAGTTACTACCGAGTTGTACTTACGTGATCCTGTGGCACAAACCATTTCTTACAAGAGGATGCAAATGTACTGCTGCAGGAACAGGGAGCACCAGGCTGGAAACAAGGCAGGCATCAGCCCTGCCTCAGTTTGAGACTACTAAAAGGAACCGAGGGTGTGGGATTTACTAGCAGAAACCTGATAAGCCGGACAAGTTGGTACCAACTGAACTAAGCCAGCTGGCCATGAACTCATAAATAATGAGTGCAATTACAATTATTTTCTTCATGCTTTCTTCATACGCTGCCTGTGTGCAGGATTGACAAGAACACTCACTCTTTGTTCTAAACTAGAGACAGCAAAGTACATTGTAAAATACTAAAGGCTACGGTAAGTAGAAAGCAGATATGAATGTGCAGTCTTTGATCTGTGTCCACCCTCCTGGAGTTCTGGATGACTTGGGAGATTTTAAAGAATCATTTATTTGAAAGGATGAAGTTTTGGGGAGAGAGAAGGAATCTCTGCAAGTCTGTGGGTAGTATCTGAAGTGGCACTGGCCGTTCAGGTGCTAACGGTCAGTCTTCCTCCATTGTCCTAACAAGAACAGAAAGCTTGCCTTAGTTCTGTCTGAGCACACCTTTAACTGACAGCTGACCCGTAACCGAAGAGTACTCGTTCTGCGTTAAAACCATGCACGCACCACGTTCTTACCACGTGTACTCTGCAAATGACCCAAAGGAACTTGGAGTAATGAGGATGCAAGACTAACTTCCCAGTTTCTGCAACAACGCAACGCAGCAGCCAGCCCTCCGCCTCTGACCTGTGGATGTGGCCGAGGGGAAAAGCGGCGGCGGAGCAGGGAGAGCGGTACCCAGGCAGCACTGGGATGCTGCAGCCTCACAGCTACTGGAAATCCCTGCGGCTCAAACCCAGGAACGGTCACAGCAGGACAGTGGGGAGGAGGAGGAAGCACAGTTGTCCTCGAGCCCTGTCCATCCATAGGGCAGAACGGCCTCTTCTTAAGAGGCATTTTCCACACGGATTAGTCTGGGAAATAACATCTCGCGCGTGGTATTTTCCCTCTGCAAAGGGGAATGGTGTTGGAGGCTCCAGTTTCTCCGTATGTGTGAGTTCCTCTGTCCTTCCCTTCTCCCTTCCACTCCAGTTTGTTTCAATGCTTTTTTAAGAGCCACTGTTCCCAATCAACTGCTCACCGTAATAGAAATGTCACTTTTTCTCACAGTATTTATTCCTTAAAAAATCTCGTGTGACATGCTAGGTTCCCATGGATGTAGCTGATCATTTTTATTTTGTAAATATAATTACCTAACTTTACATTAACTATATCGTAATAAACTATTTTTGCACCACCCTTTGCATGCTGTGTAGTGAGGCGTTTCTTTCAAGAAGGACACTACTACGGGAAGAACGGAGCAGAGGCCAGAGCCTGAAAACAAGTGAGCTGTTTGCTTTTGTAGTCACACTTGACAAAGAAAATGCAACAGGTAGCATTTTAATAGCAACAACATCTTTCAAGTAGTGTAAATCTAATGCTGCTGAACGGGATTTACTAGGGAATGACCTTCCTCAGCTTCTTCCATAGTTGCTACACCACAGATAACAGTAATGCTTTTTCCCCCAGACCCATGCCAACTTTCTCAAACTGAACAGATCAAATCTGCAATCTGTTGGTTACTCCATGTATCCTAAATAACACCTAAGGATCTACAGGAATTTTTTAATGATTTGGCTCTTTGGAACAACCAACCCACAAGGACTGTCTGTAGTGCAAAAACCAGAAGATGATGTTGAGGTTTTCTGTGAAAGTAGTTTATTTAATAGTGCCAGTCACAGCACTACTGTATCAAGCAAAACTGGTAACAAAATGTTAAGACCTTTTTTGAATTTTGAGAGATTTTGAGGCACTTTATATTTGGTATAAAGAAATTCTTACATGGATGCTATTTAGAGTTTTGAAATTCTTAAGTTTACAGCCATCTGTGTTCCACCCTGAGCTGTAGGGACAGAGATCTTTCTTACCTTCCTCCCTTTTCCTCTTCACTCACTGTCCCCCACCCTGCTGCTGCCAACACAGGCGGCCAAAGTCACCAAACCAGACCAGGACACGATGTCCCACCACCTGAATGAACCGGGGTTTCCCTCCACTGCTCCACTCTGAAGTCAGTGACCAAACTCCAGCCATGTCTGCTCTCAAGACAAGACCAACCGATCCCAAAGAACTGCTTCTCCCATTTCTTTCCAGATTTCCCTACACTTGCTTGCTGGAAGATGAGCTGTCATTAGTATCCGTTCTCATGCTTTTATGCTGGAGCTCTGCTAATCTTAAACCAAAGGAAACATGTACACAATCAAAACATACTTCTAATTTCTGCCTTCGTATTTCCCACAACTTTCCTTTTACAAACTTCCAACAGTTAATGCCAACAAGAAACATAACTAAGGTGCTTAATGTCTCTATCCAAACTCTAGCTTTGCTGCAGGCCTCTTAACTCTTCTTTAGAGTTTACTGACGTAGAGGAACCAATGGGCTACAATTCCATTCTGCAGTATCCCAAGTTGGAAAACGTCCATTTCACTGTTGAAACACCTACCCAGCACCATATGAACACACCTTGTCTGCGCCAGGGCACAGCAATGAGCCTGCCCATAGTTTTAAGCTCTATGAATGCAGTCCTATCACAGCTATCCTCACAAAATGACTCACCGAACACCTGGGTCATTCCCTCTAGCATGGGAAGGACCCACAGCAAGGAACCTGTGGCACTTTAGGGTAGAGAGCACTTTGCTTCTCTGGAGGAGCTTATCTAAATTACACCCAGGTGGATAATACAGTGATGTCTATACATAATGATAAAGTCCATGAATGCTATCTGTTGAGTACTCCACCAGCGCTGTGAGGCAGCTTAATCATTTGTCGTCTTTGGAAAAAAATCTGTACTTGATGGGATTGTACTCTTCCCAAATCCTTTCAAACTCATCCAGAAAAGGCTTCACGTACTCGGCGTCCTCCACGACCAGCACGTTCTCACGGTTGTTCTGGATAGCTTGGGTAGTCCAGTTGAGGGAGCCTGTGATGAGCATCCTCCTGTCCACGACAGCAAACTTGTGGTGCATGTAACCGCTCTCCTGGTCGTGGCGCACCTGGATCCCTACAAAGACACAACCAGGCCTTTCAGCGGTAACTGAAGCTGTCACCCAAGCCACAGCCACCCCGAGCGCCGTGCCCTGCCCCGCACGGCCCCCTCTCCGAGGCGAGGCCGCCTCACCGGCCTGCCGGAGGAGGCCGATCTGGGAGCCCGGGAGCCCCATGTACTGCGCGTCGGTGACGACGCGGACCCGAACGCCGCGGCGGTGAAGGAGCTGGACGGCGCGGCCCAGCTGTGGGCTGGAGAAGGCGAAGAGGCAGATCTCGAGGGAGCGGCGGGCGGAGAGAAGATGGCGGAGGAGGCGGCTGAGGGAGCTGTCGCCCTGCGGCAGCGGGCAAGGGCAGGGCCGGGCCGTCGTTCCGAGCCCCGCCGCCTCGGCAAGCAACGCTTCGGTGCAGCTGGGCCGTGAGGGGAAGAAGAGCACCTCGCGTACGGGGGGACGCCGCCGCCGCCAAGCCGCCAG